CATGTGTGTGTATATGAAAGGAAGCTCAGTCACTGCGTGGTTTCTGGATATGTGAATGGGGTGAGAGGCAGAGCTGCCGGATGTGTGGGATTCTGATTGCTGGATGGATTACCTTCTGTGTGTTCGTTTGCTTTTTATTCGTGTGGTTGTGACAGATTATTTTGTCTCCAGATGGCAGTCAATATGTCTACTTTCCTGCAGACACGGCTGCAGGGCTCAGTCAGGCAACGAAACCGACGACGGAATCTCCAGCGACCATTCCTGCTGCGCATGCCTCACGGATGGTCGAGTCCCACGGGCTGAGCCAACAAATGTTGGCCAACGCCAAGCAAGCAATCGGCGCCGACGGTTTCCACCGCATTCCATCATTCTCGTCATTCTCTTCAACATCCACATCATCATCATTATCATCATCACCAGCATTGTCACCAGCATCACACAGTGAGGGTGCCTGCAGATCATGCTCATGTGCTGTTCAAAGCGCAGTCTCTGCCGAGGTGCAGGACAAGGTGTGTATGAAAGGCTGTGGAGGTTTTGTTGTTTGTTCATCTGTCCAAAAATGACTTTGGCCTTGACCCCCCTTCCCTATCATCCCTGGCCCTCACGACTGTGTACTCCCCCCCCCCCCGCCCCCCCAAAAAAAAAGCTAGGTAGGCTATCTCTCTTTTGCCCGTTCCTTGCTCATTTGTGCGGTCGTGGTGAAGGTCGTTAGTGTTCGTTTGCAGAGAGAGAGAGAGAGAGAAGAAGCAGGTAGACACTGTGGCAGTTATTATCGTTAGTGGGTGCCATAGCAAGAAAGGGATCCTGGTTGGCAATTGAAGAAGCGAGCGCGGGCAAGAAAGGGTCATTCATGCTCGTCGTGCCGGAGCACTGCACGCACTCGCACCCCTTTTTCACTCTCACTCCTACCTGTGGCTTTTTGTTCTCTATTGGTTGTGTCTGCCAGTCTGTTTGGCTTTGGGCTTGTTTTGGTTATCTCTGCCGTTCTACTGTGCGTCCGTTCAGAAGCTGTCTCTCACTGTCTGTTTGTCTGGCTGTCTTAAAATGTTATCCCTCGTATCTGCCTCTCGCTTACGCCTGTCTGTCGGCTTGTCTCTGTCTGTGTCTGCCTGCGGCTGTCTGTGTGTGCCCCTCTGTCTGCCTGCCTGTCTAGTACCTCTGTCTGGATCTCCCTGTCCGTCTTTGTGTGTCTGCCTGTCTATTGTATCTTTCCTGTCCGTCTATTGTCAATTGATTGTCCGTCTCTTGTCTATTGATTGTCTATCTATTTTTTTGTCTGTTTAACATTGTTTATAGCCTTTTTTTTCCAACTAGTGTATGTTTATCGTATGTTTATCGTATGTCTATTGTCTGTTTATCCTCTGTTTATTGTCTCTGTTTATCTCCGTCCGTCTATTGTCTCTTTATTTTCTGTCTATTTTCTGTTTATCGTCTGTTTATTGTCAGTCTGTGTCTCTCTCTGTCTGTCTTTTGTCTCTTTATTGTCTGTCTATTGTCTCTTTATTGTCTGTCTATTGTCTCCTTATTGTCTGTCTATTGTCTCTTTATTGTATGTTTATCTATTGTCTGCCTTTCCCTGCCTGTCTGTCTATCTGTCTGTCTATTGTTTGTCTATTGTCTGTCTATTGTTTGTCTATTGCCTGTCTGTTGTCTGCCTGATGTCTGTCTATGTGGCCTCTTTTCTGTTTACTTATGTGTTTTTTTTTGCTGTGCAGTTGAGATTTCTGCTGTACGTGAAGAAATGCTTTGCGGCAGGAGAAGATAGGTGGAGGCCATTCCGTGCAACAAAGGGCACTTTGGACGAGAATGACCATCTGAAGAACCGCCGTTTCGTGAAACCAGTTCAATGCTGCAGCGTTTGTATAGCTGCTGCCTTTTCGGTGAGTTTCGGAGTGTCTAAACTATTGATACGCCCACTTTGCTCATTGCAGGACCCCACAACTTGGCTGTGACTGGTTGCAGACCCCCGCCCCCCACAACTGGGCTGACTGCTCATTGCTGAAAACCAGAAATGAGCAGCCAGCCCGGTCCGTGTTGATCCAACGGTGCACAAGTGACCAATTCATTCACATCTCACATCTTGATCTGGTAGCCTTTGCCCCTGCTCCGCCTGCTCCTTATCTATAATCTTATCGAACTCAGATAACGATGGCTTTTTTTTCGTTTTCGTTTTTGTTTTTGTTTTTGTTTTTGTTTTTGTTTTTGTTTTTGTTTTTGTTTTTTGTTTCTGTTTTTGTTTTTGTTTTTGTTTTTGTTTTTGTTTTTGTTTTTGTTTTTGTTTGTTTTTGTTTTTGTTTTTGTTTTTGTTTTTGTTTTTGTTTTTNTTGTTTTTGTTTTTGTTTTTGTTTTTGTTTTTGTTTTTGTTTTTGTTTGTTTTTGTTTTTGTTTTTGTTTTTGTTTTTGTTTTTGTTTTTGTTTTGAGAGGATATTCCACATGTCATCTCCCTCTGCAGCCAGTCAGTGTGGATCCAACGGTGCACAAGTTCGATCTCTGATCAAATCAAATGGAAAAAAAATAATAATAAAAAAATAGACTCCGAATCACCTGGGGTAAGTGAGTTTGATGATAACACCTCAATGACATCGTCTTTAAAAAGTGTATATATATATATTATATGTGACGATATATTATTAGCAAAAAAAAAACAAAAAACTGGATCTGATTCGCTCACATCTAGTGTGGCTCTGTTTTTTTCACTTTTTTCACATGTGCATGCACGCTCAGCCGCATTACTATTTCGGAATAGTAGTTTCATAATACCTGCTTTTTATTATTGCAATTAAATTAGTTTTAATTTATACTCTATTGTGTATTACTTCATTTACTATCATTCGTTCTAACTTCAATTTGCTATTTTGTGTGAACGATGATGATGCAGGGCGAGCTTGTTCATCTCAAGAAATGGCTACGAACTCGACAAGCGAACGTCTTCAGACTGAGCAACAACACCATTCAGGTAATTTACTTATTTCTGAAACACATAGACGAAAACGTTTTTCTTAGATACAGTAGGGGGGGTCCTCTCAGCAGCTGTCTACTTCCTTCAAAGCCAATAAGCCCCTACCTTACTGGAAGGTAGGGTATTTTACTATATTGTGTTCGCAAGCCGCAACTTTGAAAACGACCTCCTCAATACCACGTAAGTGCTCAACCAACTGAGCTAGCCCGCTAAGTTTTAACTTTTAAGTAATGTCCACAGCAACCCTTTTCCGTCCACGTGCATAGGTATCATAATTGTAAGTGTCTTATGGACTTTTACCATGTCATATTTAAAAAAAATGATTATGAGGTTTTCATCAGTCGTCGTTTTTCTTTGTATCTATGTCTCTGTCTGTCTCTGTCTCTGCCTGCGTCTTCGTCTCTCTCTGCGTCCGTGTCTGTGTCTGTGTCTGTGTCTGTGTCTCTGTCTCTGTCTGTATCTTCGTCTTTATCTGCGTCTCTGTCTGTGTCTGTGTCTCTGTCTCTGTCTGCGTCGGTGTCGGCGTCTGCGTCTGCGTGTTTCTGTCTGGGTGTGTGTGTGTCTGTGTCTGCGTCTTTCTGTGTGTGTGTGTGTGTGTGTGTGTGTGTGTGTGTGTGTGTGTGTGTGTGTGTGTGTTGTATAAGAACGTTCTTTAAGTGTGGTTTCGTTACGTCACATTAAGTCAGGGGCATGGTCGTTGATCTTGATTTTGCCCTTATAAGTTAGATGAACCAACGTCTTTTGCCCATCTATTTGTTGGCGTGTTGCTATCGGATGATGTGCTGAATATCAGGTGTGTTTCGACGATGGCTCGGAAGTCATGCTTGAAAAGGGCGTTGACCAGGTGGTGTACGTGGCCAAGGACAGACAGGCGATCACTGTGCATAGTGTAAGAGAAAACAGGTATGTGGTCATTGTCAATGTCATGTTTAGCCAACCCTCAACCGCATTCTTCCTCCTACTCTCTCCAAGCAGCCAAAGTGTTGATTTGTTGCTCGTAAACTCTGCATTACTTGGTCCACGTGTGGTATCGCTCCTACTGCCAGCTCAGCTATATACTGCTTATTTCCCTCAGCTATTGTCCTCCTTACAGGCCTCTCTCTCTCTCTCTCTCTCTCTCTCTCTCTCTCTCTCTCTCTCTCTCTCTCTCTCTCTCTCTCTCTCTCTCTCTCTCTCTCTCTC